AGGGAGAAAAGAAGGATAAGAATAAGAAAGGTAGAAAACACATGGTCCTTAAGATGACCAGTAAACATGTGCTTGCTGTGTCTCGGCATAACAATAAAAGATGAATATCAGTGAGGTACAGAATAATTAATACATAGCTAAAAGTTTCTGTCAAAATTGTTCAAACCTGGGTGCTTAAAATTAGCTGTCTGAAAATTAGCACCTAACATTTGGGTTTCTTAATTTTAGACACCCAGACTTCAGAAATTTGTTTTTATTTACTACATAAAGACTCACCTTTATGCAAATCTCCCATTGACCTCAGGGGAGATTTTCAATGGATCTGCAGTAGTGTGCCATTTATACACAGCCAGTGGCCTGGACAGAATACAGGGCTTTGAGAACAGAGTCAACAGATACAATATGTGAAAGGACTACTAAAGAATATCATCTTCTAGACGAAATATAATAGGACCTCCATAGGGTCTCTAAAGGAATATCTATACTAAGAAGAATATCACAGGCTAAGAAGGTTTTAATATAGTTTAAAGTAATTTAAATTAGCCATAACTATTTCTTCTGCTGTATATGAAGGCTAACCATTCTTCACATCATGTTAGATATTCGTCTAACATGATATTTTAAAAAATATTCTACTTTTGAAAATCCTAATTAACACAGAAATAACTAAACTGGCTAAGTACCTGGTACATAAATCTTGCTTACTTCAGACGAGCTTCTTGCATGCAATGTTTTGCTCCTTTCAAGTGTGGTGCTTAAGTGCTAGCATGAGACCTAGCCAGGCTGTAAAACTCTCCCTCAGCAGCTTGCTTATGCTTCCAAAGTTAACCTTTCTGCAAGGGGTTCTGCTGCCTATTTAAAGAATTCCATTTTTCCAGTTATAAAAATAACATTATATTAAGCGAGTCTTCTTTTTACCAATTAGGTCAAAGTCCTAAAATTTTAAGACCTAAACCACATGGTTTAGAGCGAACTGATTCACAAACCATAGGTGACTTTACTACAAGAAGAAAGGGTATGTACTTTAGCATTGCATGTTGTATGGAGCTTTGTAAAAATGTTTTTCTATAGGTTAAGCTCTCATAAGGCATTATCATGACTACTGTTATAAGCTGAGACCATGGACACATTTTTCTTGAAAACTATTTTTTTTCCTATGCAAGGGGAAACATCCTTATATCCTAAATAGTGTATTTAAAGCGGTACCAGAAATTACTGTATTTACCCAAACCAAGGTAACTTCAAATGTAAGATGACCCCCAATAATTAGATTCTATGCATGAAGAATATATAAATTTGTTATAATTTTCCATGTTTAGAACCTAATTATTGTAGGATCAAGCTTAAATTCTCCCCCCACCTGCCATCACTGCAGGGTGGCAAGCAATGGTAAGGGGAAGGCGGTAGGGGGGCAAGTGGCTGGGAAGTCAAGGTCAGAGTGGCTTGATCTATGCCCCTTGCCCCCCTGGCCACTTGCCACCGTGCCCCCTGCCATTTCCCCTTCCTGCTGCCTAACCCCTGGTGCCTGCACCTCCCAGCTCCTGGCTTACCCCCTTCCAATCCTTGCACCACTTCCCACCACTCTGGCTCTGGCCTGAGGCATGGAGCACATGCTGGTTCTGGCCCCGGCCCTGGGTGGAGCTGGAGCTAGGGCTGGAGCTGTCACACACCACTGCCATGGTTGCTTGGCCAGGCAGGGACCAGAACCACCACGTGTTCAATGCCCTGGGCCAGAGCAGGGCCAGAGCTGGAAACATGACTGAGGGTAAGCAATGGCAGTGGGAAAGGGGCAGGTGGTGGGACAGAGGAGGTAGGAGGCAAGTGACAGAGGGGTTGGAGACTCTGACTCTAGGCCAAAGCATGAGCTGCAGCAGCTGCCTACATCCCGCTTTGTACTGGAATCCAAGGTGAGGGAATTCTCCCCGCCTCTTGGATTCAAGTAAATACAGTAATATACAAGCTTTGATCTGCTCATATTTTGGATTTAGTTTTGTATCTGTTTCTTTAGAAGTAAGTCTATATGGCCTACCTATGTATCACTTCAAATAATTTATGGTTAAGAGCTAATGCTGATATTGCAGTTTAATGTTCTCTTGCCATTGACTAAACATTGAAGTGCAGCCAAAGAAATTGATCCTGTATATTAGTACCGTGATTTGTTTTATACTTTAAAAATAATCATTACAGTTGTAGAGTTTGACTGGCTTATTGTATGTGCTAACAGAGCTGGTCCCCTTCACAATCATATGGATAATGAGAAATTTTAAATTGTCAAGCATTTTATAACGGCACATTTGATCACCTTATAAGATGCACTTACAGCTAATCTAAAAACCTCTGAAGCTTATGCAAAAACTAGCTTCACCTGGCATTGGATCCAGCCCATACTCGTTTCTACTACAGAGTTGTACTTGGGCTATTGAGTGCAGTTGCCGTGATGTCCCTTTATAAAGATGTTTTTTGCAAATATCTAGTTGGTCTAATAAAAGATACCACCTCTGCCACAAGTGCTGGTTCATTGTCCCTTTATAAAGCACATGAGCTGTGCTAGTATCTTCTAATGCCACTCATCCATACCATGGCATGACTTGCATAAACTCCACTTCTGTCACCCTAACTCCTGTGGAATAACACCCCATTCCTTGTTTAGTCCTTTGGAAATAAATTATTTGAGAACCTTTTTAAAAAATCGGTAGGACTACCTGATGAATAGCACCAGGACATGTGAGTTAAGGTGGCAAAATCTGTTTCACCATAAATTACTCAAGTATACTAGTGCATCTTGTGTTTCAAACTGGCCACTCCTACAGCATTTCAGTTGCACTGAAGAGTAGTTCAGTGTGATTAATTCCAATGATGTGGTCCATAAAATTTAATTTAAATAAATAGTTACACTGAAATGTAAGAAACCTGTTAAGATTAGTCCTATATCTTAAAAGACTACCTCAAAGTATTGACAGATATATCAAGTACAAGTTTTTCTCCCTTGCAAGAAAACTACCTTTTTTAATCAACATTTTTGTCTTTCCCTTATATGGTCATTTACTATGGATTTTACTGTGTATGAACTAGTTTTTATCTGTCTGAAATTTGTTCCCAGTAAACATTTTGATCTATAGAAATTGATCAGCTGCATCAATTCTTTTGTAGTTTATATTGAATGTTGTGTATTTTGTGGGGAGGGAAAGCATTAGATACTTTAGAATAATTACCTTCTCAAGTCCGACTATACGTACTTCCCTAAGAGTCTTGCAAGAGTGAAATTGAGTTTTTGAAATTGTACAATGTTTGGAGGCCTTTTTCCTATTTTGAATTCAATTATGCTTAATTTAACTTAGGAAGGTGTGGTCCTACCCTGAAAAATGTATTAACAATTACATCTTTTTAAGAATCCTTTCATCTGATACTACTGAGGCAGATATGTTCCTTCTTCTTTTCAGTTAAGCACTGAAGAGAGCCAGAACATCTCTGACTCGCACCTCGAATTCTTTAACTAAATTCCAATTTCAGAGCTTGGTTCTGCCATCACTTTCACCTGCATGAGGGCACAACTGGGTCTGCAAAATATTTTCGGTACCAAAAGTCCATGAGAGAATATTTCAGACCTAGAGATGGCATACTGGTACTTTAAGAAAAGACAACCAACCAACCCCACCTTTTTACTTGTGAACTGAGCCCATACAGTAAGTCGTAGCACAATATATGTAAAACATTCCCTTGTCGTATTCAAGTTTTTTCAGAATAGAACTGCATATAAACATGCTAATTCCAAATTCTTAAATTATAGTAGCTCTTGTTATTAGCAGGACTCTAATTATTTGGGAAAACTTAAAAATATGGACAACATACAGTGGCTCAGAAATCTCTTTGAGAACCAAACAACTTTTAGTGATAAGTGTGGGTATTTTGGGTCTAATTGAGAAATCTTACTCACTGGCAAATTATAAAACATATTTACGTCTAGACAACTTAATATTTCAAAAACTGATGAACTTGAATTTGTTTTGAAATATTCTGTACTTTAAAATTGTCTTTTTCTTATATAGTAAAACCAGCTCCACTAGAAATAAAACCTCTGCCCGAGTGGGAGGAATTACAAGCCCCCGTTAGATCTCCTATCACCAGAAGTTTTGCACGAGAGTAAGTCTCATAACTTTTCTTATTTTAGATTATTTGTTTTCTTTGAACAGTGTGTTAATGAACATCTGTATGATCTTTCCTTTTTCTTAGCTTCTGTAGCAGAGACTATTTCCTTTTGAAGTATGTATGCATGTGTGCCCATAAACATGTCAGCTGTATGTGTGTTTGTTGTACAGTGAAGTGTTTTGAATATAAAGAGCAGTGTATAACTGGAAAATGCAACTCTGGTAAACCTGATGTAAGAATTTAAACTCTAATATACTTATTTCTTTTTTGTTTACCAGGAGTTTTAAAATATTAAAGTTTTATTGTTTGTAAAATAATTCCTGGTAATTAGCTCCTCCAGGTTTCCTATGTCTCCCAGACCGGATTCAGTTCATAGCACAACTTCCAGCAGTGACTCGCACGACAGTGAAGAGAATTATGTTTCCATGAATCCCAATCAGTCCACTGAAGACCCAGTATGTAATAACTACATCTTAACTACTCTTCCGGTGCAGTCCTTACTTTTAAAACATGCAAACAAAAATCCTTTTTGTCAACCAACAGCCCTTTCTTTTCTTTTTTCTAGATACATACCTCAATGAATTAGAATGTTTGCTTTATTTTAATATGGTATTATTAAGGAATTTAAGGCTAGAATTGCTCATTTAGTAAAAGGCCAGGTTCGTGTGCATGGAACAAATCTGAAGACCTTTTGCTCGAAGTGTTTAAAATATATTCTTTCCCAAGGACTTTCTTCTTTCTGTCATCTTTGCTTCTAAACTGTCGGGACAGTTGCACATTATCAGTAGGGAAAAAATTATGCCAGTGTTCTTCAACTACATTTACAGGCTTTTTAAAATTTAATTTACAAGTTAACGTAGTTCAAAGAAAAATGGAAAGAATGAGAATCATAGGAAATCTTTATTAATATTTCATGTTCAAATTTTCTATCTTTTATTTCTGATAGGACATTGTTTTTAAGAATTAGTTACAGTGTAGACATTCAAGAACATGTTGGGAAAAGTAGAATTAGTTTAATTTTACTTAGAGTGTTGACTCTATTAGCTCTTGGTATGTTACTTATAAATATTCTTTGAAATGTATCTGAATAATGCATGAGTCTCACAAACAGAAACAAGAATTTGCAATAGTATTTTAAAATAACATCATAGTAATAAAAACATCCCAGTTCTTAAACAAAAACCTAGTTCAGAATGGCCCTCCACTTTGGAAAAGTTCATAGCTGTAGCCATAAACTTTCAGCCTAGGCTTGTCTCTGTTTATCTGTTACAAGTTTTTACTGTTTAGAACCCTATTTAGTGGAGATTTATAGTAAAAAAAAAAATTCCAAACATTTTTCATCTTCAAAGCACTATAAAATTATTAACTAATTCTAGCAGTCCCATGAGGGAGATACGGGTAAGTAAGAAATAATATTCCATTTTACAGGTGAAAAAATTGAAATACTGAGATTATGAATTGGCTATGGCAACAAGTAAATAATTAGCAGAATTAGAAATTGAGAATTAGTATTACTGGGTGCATCTACGCATGCGAGTAATGCAAACAATAAACTCCAGAGCAGTTCAAGTTGGAGTAAACTGCTCCTGGGCCCAGTGTCTACACGTGAACCCAAGACAGCAGCTATTGAGCCAGAGCAGACTAGGCCCCTGGCTGATTGGGCTGACCATGCTCAACTTATGCCCCTGGTCAGTCTACAGGTGCATTCCAGTGCAGTTAATTACTCTGCCATAAAACAGTACTGTACCCGACAGTACTTATCTTACGGGAGAGTTAATTAGTTTACTGCACCTTAATAGCGATGCACATGTAGACGCTGACACTTTACTGCGGAGCTAATGATTCTACTCCACAGTAAATTGCACTTGTAGATGCACTGTCTGTGTTCTTAAAATGCCACTTAAGAAGATTAATTTTAATCCTTAAATGATTTGTTTTAATACCATATCTAGATGTACTAGCCATTTATGCATATTTTCTGCTTTCTTGCATTTTTAATTTTCCTTGAGTGTGGTACAAAAATACATTTTTGTTTTCATTTAACTAAATTTTAAGTTTTTGTTTTTAATAGACATTTCCTGCTTGTCTGATCATATGTATAGGTCCTTTTCTATATTCAGAGTAATATCTTTTCACTCATTCCCCAAGCAGTGATATAACTACAGCATTAATAATTTAAATATGAAATATACAATACCAGAAACTTAAAAGAAAAACAATTTTCAAAGAATATCCCGACAAAGAAATCCAATATTAATTAACTCAGGTTTTCTTGTTTTTTGTTTTAAATCCCACCCATTTGTATGTTTTGTTTATGTTGTCCCAACAGTGGAAAAAAAAAGAGTTGATGATACTGGAATAAAATGAAATTCAAAACAAACATGCAAACATAAAAACTGCATTTAACCCATTAAGCATTTTATTTCCCAGTGATCATGTAATATCTATCAAGTTTCAGGATCATTATTCTAAACTGCACTAATATTTTCTTGGAGGTTTGGGAAATAGTTGTGTTAACTTTCTCGTCCTTTTCTGTCATCGTCTTAAATATACTGCTCCCACCTGTCATACTTCAGTTTGATTTCGTAAAATGAGCAATGTTCAGGTTTTTCTTTCAAGTTGCTGTCAGCCGTACCCTTTCTGTCTTTCCTTCTGCCTTGCTCTTCATTTTTTGCTGACTGCTGCCCTCTGTCTTCCTTTTTTTCTTTATCTTTTAGAGAAGAGTCCTTCTATTGTACTGTTCCTATAACACCTGTTAAGAGGGAGGGATCAGAATGGGAGAGGACAGAGGAGGTGAGGTGGTAAAAATCTGGGCTGATTGAAAACTAGGTACATGCCATATGATTTAGTTCATGTCAGGTAGCCTTTCCCAAAGTTTCCCTGGTTATCTTAATCCTGAAGTTTTATTAACTGAATAATAATTCCTTTTGATTTTTAAATTAACCATGATAGTTTTTGAATGAAATGCAAAAGCATCTTTCAAAATTTAACAGTTTTAAAAGGCCAGGTGTTCCTTAAATGATTTGTATTACTAATATAATAAAATATAAGAGTCTTCCTTTAAGTAATGTTAAACTTGAGACACGGTATGCCAGTCCAAAAATCCTTACTGTGTCTTTAACTCACACTGTTGAAAGGGATGTGTAGCGTAGGTAGAAGGCACAGCTGTTTTGGAGCATCTGCCTTAAACTGGTCTTTTGATTCTGTGTCCCAAGTTTAACATTAATTAAGCCTAACTTCTGTTTAGTATACTAGTTCATTAATGGCAAGTTATAAAATCTGCATTGCTTACCAGCTCTTTGAGCAGTTCCCAAATCTTGTCTGTCGAGGCAGTTTTTAACAGGCATGGACATACTACTTCCATGTACATGTACTACTTAGCATTTTCATGGTTGCTGATTTGTATTTGTATTATAATTTCAGATTCTGTTTGCTAGCAACAGCCTTGATGGAGGAAGCAGTCCTATGGTAAAACCTAAAGGAGATAAACAAGTAGAATATTTAGATTTGGATCTAGATTCTGGAAAATCTACTCCACCTCGTAAGGTACACAAAATTTAAAACTTTAAATGTTTGGGTTTTTTTTAAGTTGCTCTGATATTCGAAATGAAGTTGTCTTAAGGTTTGCTAGATTAGGTACAATTCTTCTGCTCACTCCTCATGTCTCAGAAAGGAAGCCTACTCAGCAGCTTCACCTCTGCCTGTGGTCAGTCATAGGCCATTGACAGGCTTTGTATTTATGCTGGGAGAAAAGCCTTTCTCCTGGCAGAGAAAGAGAGTGTGCCGCCATTCAAGGGATTTTTTGTGGAAGAGAATTGACTCTCCCATGAGGAAGTTAGAGCTATTCTAATATCCAGGAATATTCGACAGTCTTCTGTTCTTCCTCCTTCCCTGCCTCCAGTATAGATGGAGGGCAGTAAAACACCGGTCCCCTGATAGTCTACTAAGGAGTGAGCTGTCAGAGAGCCCCATAGGGACCCTGCTGTGCAAAATTTCACAGAAATTTGTGCTGTTAGAAGTGAGTGCTTCTCCATGACCACAGATGCTGACTTGTGGAATGTATATGAGATATTCTTGTTCCAGATCCCTCTTGGGATTTTACACTGGTCTATGAGGGCATAAGATTTCCACATGTCCAGGTAGCTAAGTTTCTTCATCTCCTGGAGCAAATTTAACTAAGCAAAGCATCCTTTTGGAGGGTTCTTCCCCATAGCTTTTAAATATTATATACAGGCTGTCTCTCCTTTCCTGCAAAAAAACCCCAAAACCAAATATAACCTTTTAAAGATTTTAGTTATCAGGCATTAAACACATACCATCCCAATGCTGGCTGTCCTCACATCTTTCAAATCTCAACTATATGTTTTTCCAATATGAACAAAAACTGTGAGCTGTTCTATGTGTTGCCTGCTATCTTGTTACAAAGCCCAGGTTTTTATATGCAAGGACTTTCAGCACTTAACTGTCCATTTGGATAGGTGAGATTATTTAAAAAAAATAAAAATACTTTCACTGTTTGTAATAGTGTTACTTCCTTTTAAAAAGACTGATTAGCCCTTATTAAATGCATAGCTCCATTATAAATTAAACTGGCTATAATTTATTGTGTATTTATTTTTAATTTTCCTCCTTTTTCACTCTCCATTTCTTTTCCAGAAAAAAAGCAGTGGTTCTGGTAGCAGTGTGGCTGATGAAAGAGTGGATTATGTTGTGGTTGACCAGCAGAAAACACTAGCACTGAAGAGTACACGAGAAGCATGGACTGATGGGAGGCAGTCTACAGAATCTGAAACACCAAGTAAAAATGTAAAATGAAAATACAGCTTTTTCTTCATAGAACAAAAAAAGAGTGTCATTTGTCATTCTGCATTTTGAAGAAACACTGAACCACAACTGCAATGTTGCTTGACTGTACAGTACTTGACAGTTCACCGGTGTACAGCTTCCTACCTGAACAGGATGGGAGCTAAAGGACTCTTCAAATACAGCAAAAATGTTAAGATCCTGTATTGTGCTCTGTGGCATCTGGATAACTCACAAAATGTAAATAGCTTGTAAAATAGTATTCCTGAGCTCCCAGAAACTTTTTGTTCTGTACTTAACACATTTGTAGTATTATTAAGTTTATGCACTTTTTCAGTTACAGTGTTGGTTCAGGTATTCCTAATTAGTGTACCGTAATGCCTAATTCATTTTGAGAATTTTTTCTTACACTACTATGCATTACAATTCTAGGTTAATTAAGCTACTTGTAGATATGGGAAATTAATGTTTGAACTTGATTTTTAAAATTGATTTAGCAGAAATAGTTTCACAATTTAATAATCTACTTGAAATGGCAAGAGATGACCATTAGTGACATACTGTTTTATATTTAATACATGCAAGGAATCTTTGGAAGTCTACAGGTTACCTTCCTAACAAAAATTGCTGTGAGTTAATAATAATGAACGTTATTGGTTTTAGACCTAGAATTTTGGCTTATACGTTAGTTGTTAGTGGTAGAACTTCTATTGTATTTTATTAATGACAGTGTTCTGTGTTCATTGGGTGAAGATTCTGCAGGGTAGGATCTTACACTTTTAAAGACTAAATAATTAAATATCAAGTAAGCCTGCAAACCACTGATGGCATGCAGTAATGTTGTGATCTCATACTAATTAACAGAAATAACCTTTATATTATTTACGGAAGGTAGAATATATAAATAATCAGGTACGTACCAAGCACTGTTGTGCTAATACACTGATCAGGTTTAGACAATGAGCTTTAGTTTTGTACTATTTAGAAGTCCTACTTTTGGTTTTCAGTTTGAGATTAACAGGACAGTTTGACATTCACTGTTCGTAGTACTAGCAAGATACTGTGATTTTGAATTAGACAGTAATTCAAATGGAAATACTATGTATTGACACCATAGTGCCCTTCCTATGATCTTTATTTTACTTAATCTCCTGCTTGGCCTTATATTTAAATCCCTATGCAACTGATATTTTATATCTGTGTTTTTCTAAAAATAGATACTATACCTGATCCCCTCATACACCATGTGTTGCTCTTTCCTGGTACAGGATTTAAAGCTTTATGTACTGTGATCCTTTCATTTTCACTATGCCAGTTTCAAATAATGGTCTGCCTTGGTTTAGAATTAACTTAGCTGTCAAGAAGCAAATAGAGGTCTTTAATTATGTAAATGATTTGTTAAATTTATTATGTCTGGGTTGAAAATTTACTAACACTTTTTTACACAAATACCCTTGAGTAACTCTTGATGGATTTTGTTTTGTTTTCTTTGTTTTTGGTCCAGACTTTTAAAATGTTGAATGAGCATACAGATGTGTTGTTTTTTTCTGGCATGCTGGCCTCAGTACGGTGCCTAACTTACAATATTTTCCCCCAATCTACAGTATGTAAATTGTCTTATTCTTAATAAGGGTTCTTTTTAAATTAGCAATATTTTGATGCTTTGAATGTTTGTGTTTTTTAAAAAAAACAACTAAACACAATGCATTTTGAGGTGAATTTTAAATAAATCAAATTGCTCAGTTTCAATGTGTATGCTCTGTCCAGTGAAGCCACAGACCCATAAATATAAAAAATATATGGCAAAGTGCATAAATTATAAAATACAGTTTTCTTCTATAAAATGGCCAGATTGTGGGTACAGTACACGGCTCTTATAAACATCTGAGTCCAAAACGTTTTCAAAAGTGAATCGCAGAGAAAAATCTCTGAACAGCAAAAGTTAGGCCAAATCTTTCTCATTTTGAATTGAATGGGAGTGCTGCAATGGAATATATTCAAACTAAGATTGGACTGTTTGGGTACATCTACATAAGATGTGTACTGAGGAGTTGCCTAATTAGCTCCACAGTAAAGTCTCAGCATCTACACGCGTGGCCCTGTTAGGCGGCAGTAAACTAATAAATGATGCTGTAGGTTAGTACTTGTCAACACAAGTACTGTCCTACAGTAGCATCATTTAGCGTGCAGCAATGCACATGTAAACACTGATGGGACTGGCTAGGGCATGAGGGTGCTTCAGTGCGGGAGGTGTTTGCTGCTTAGCCCAACACTGGAGCATCATCATGTCACAGCCAGCCTCTCTGCAGCACATTGACCTGGGTGGGAGCAGTCCCGGACTGACAGGCTGACCCCTACCGGGTCCACTGCCAGCCAGGGCTGCTCCAACCTGGCTTAATGTGCTGCAGTCCTGAGCACACGTGTAAACGCAGCACCCAGCAGCAATAAACTCCAGTGCAATATGCCCCAAGAGTTTATTGCATCACATTAATTGCACATGTAGAGGCAGCCCTTATTACTAAACCAGCATGTCTTTATAGAAATAGGAGCAGATACATCAAATAGGAAATAATTTGAAGAATTGAAGCATTCTTATTTATCATTCTTATTCAATGTTAGCAAATGTTCCTTTACCAGCACTACAACTGAAAGATCCTTAAGTATAGCATTTGGTGGTCAGTAAAAGAGTAGTCTTATTTTGGCATATTAATTCCAAAAGTTTCAATGGTACTATTGCAGCAGGGCTGGTGAGCTTTTTTTCCTCCTGTGCCAGTCTTTATACAAGCATCCCTCCACTGGCTTCAGTGGAGTTCCTTCTTTTTAAACTGGAATTGCACCTCAAGTTTTTCCTGAATAATGGCTGGTGCTTATCAGACATTGTTGAGAATGGAAACAAATTACTGTATTAACCTAAATTCAAGAAGATAATTTAAGATGATCAATAAGTAAGTTCTATATATATGGAAAATGTATTAATTTATTTTATTTTTCCATGTATAGAATCTAATTTTTAGAGGATCATCTTAGATTTGTCCCCTCCACCACTGCAGCAGGGCAAGCAGCAGCAGGGAGGGCAGGTGGTAAGGGGCAGGCAGTGCAGGGATCAAGTGGCCTGACCTCTGCCCCTTGCTTACTGCCTTCTGTCCACCCACTGCTGTCTGCCCCCCAACACTTGCCTTCCCTGGTGTCTGCCCCCCACCAGTGCCTGAATGCCCTCTCTGCTCCCCCCACGGTTCCTGCGCCCACACCTGCACCTTGCCCTTTACCACTTGTCCTCGCCCCTCACCGTGTCTTCCCTCCCACCCCCTCTCCCGCACACCTTACCATCATTTACCTTCCATCCCAGTTCTGGGTTTGGTCCTCCTTGAGTCCTGACCCTGGCCCCAGATTGGAATCAAAGCTGCAACTGCAGCTGCTGCCACTATCACTGCTGTTGCATGGTCTGGCAGGGCCAGAGTACCATGTTCTCTGTGTCCTAGGCCAGAGCCAGAGCTGGAGGGCATAGGCAGTGGAAGGGGGGGGGGGGGGGGGGCCCCCAAACACAGGGCAGCAGGTAGGGTCCCCATGGCAGCCTAGCTGCAGGCTGTTGCAGCGGAGTGGGGGAGGGGCATGCACACTCATACACTGCGCAGCCAGGATCACAGCCGGCTCAGCAGGCAGGTAAGTTTCTTTCAGTCTCCTTTCAACTTGGGCTTGGGGTGGGGGGGGGGGCAGATAGAGACCCCCACAGTGTAGGAAGGAGTGAGGCGAATGATTCACCCATACCTCACTCCTTTGCTGCACTGTGAAGATTGCCCCATGACTCGGCCTGGCCAGGGCCCTATTCAAAGGATGCCCCCCACCCTTGGCTCCCTTGCGCCATGCCTCTGGATGATCTTCTGGGCTCTGATTGCCCCACAACTTAGCCCAGCTGGGGCTTCATTCACAGTGAATGCCAAGGGGGGAAGCCAAGGAGGGGGCACGTGGCCTGCTGATCTGTGCATGGGTGGGCTGCAGCTGTGGGCTGGGATCTGCCTGCTCCCTGTGCGCCTCACTGCCTTTGAAAGCGGCACGGCATGGCACCTTATGCCTCGCTGCTTGTGAAGCCACACCACTTTTCAAGGTAGCAGCAAGGCACACATGCAGGGAGCAGGCAGAACCCAACCCGCAGCTGCAGCCTGCCCTTGCCCTGTGCAAAAATCGGGGGGGCTACGTGCCCCCTCCTTGGCTCCCCAACACTGTACCTCTGGAGGAGCCACTGGGCTACACCAGGCTCTTCCCAGGGATGATGTGAGGTAGGCGCAGGGGTTCTGTGGGCTCCATCTCCTTTGGCCTGGCAGTGCAAGGCCCCCGGCTCCAGGCCACCCCCAGGCAGCGTAGGGCCAGTGCAGGGAGGCAGCTGGGGCCACTGCGGAGCTGGGTAACGGTGAATTTGCAGGGGCCACCGGTGCCAGGTAATGACCCCAGGCACAGGTAAAGGGGTGGGTGCAGCGGGCCGCAGCCCCGACCCTAGGCCTGGCTCTGGTCTCCCGGGCTCTTTCCCCTCTTCCCACCCCTTCCCTTGGAGACTTTCCTGTTGGGCAGGGCACACAGGCTCAGTGCCCCCCACCCCCTCAAAAAAATTTTCTCCCTCTGCCTATGCCGGAGGGTAAGCAGCAGTGGGGTCAGGGTGGGAATGGGACAGGCAGCAGGAGGCAAGAGCAGAGGGGAAAGTGGTGGAGGCAGCAGCAGTGGCTCCAGCTCTGATCCTGAGCTGAGGTTAGAACTGCAGCAGCTGCCTGCTCCCTATTTGCTCCCCTCTCCCCCCACCCCATCTGTACTCAAATCCAGGATGTGGAGCTTCCCCCCACCTCATCTTGGATTCAGGTAAATATAGCATACCCTCACACAAAGATCTACACAGGGAGGGACTGAAATGGCCTTGAGACATGGAGTTTCCTTATATACCCAACAGGTGGGAAGAGTTCAGAAGAATTGCAGAGGAAGCAGAGGTGTCTATGAAAGGGAATCTTTCATTCCCACTGGGACCTGCTCATCTGTCCTTCACATGACTTTAATTTGAATTGTGTTTGATCAAAATTATCAGACTGACAGTTTTATTCTGCTGCGCTGCTTAATACACAAATAAGAATCTGAAGATTTCTTTGAACCTTTTAACCACTTAAGTCATTCAGTCATTCATGTTTGAAACCCAAGGGGTTTCCCCAGATTTAGGCACCTGTATTCATATTTATATACCTAATATACATATGTGTTTCCACCTCTTTTCTTCTGCCTCCTTTTTCAGAGGTCCTGAGTACCAGCAATTCCTTTTCACCTTGATGCATCTCTTTAGGTTTCCAAGTTATCACACTGGTGCCTGATGTCTGGTAAGTGCTTATTGGTGTCACCACTGGAGTTACAGAATATGTTTTAGTTTATTTTTTTATTTATTAAGTAATCATAGTTTCAGTTAGGAAAAAAATTGAGTAACTATATTTTTTTGGTATTTAAAAAAAAAGAAACTTGTCAAGCACCAGTTTCTAGACACTGCAGAAATTGTAGACATAGTGCTTTTAAATTTCATAGTATAGTAATTTTTCAACTGTTTTGGATTTTGATTGATTTTTATTTTTATCAGTTGCCTTGTCCCAAGGACATCCAAAGAGAGAAAAGAGGTATTAATAGCATCTCATTTGAAGTAACACAGCTGAGGTAGGGTTGTGTGCTGCCTATTTTTAATCATGCTAATGCATTTTGTTAATATGTTATTTAAAAAGTGCTGAACTCTAGCTTTGGAGAAAGTAGAAGTAAAGCTTGGGCCCACAGATCTATTGTTATTAACTTTATGGAGGCATGTGGATATTCCAATGATGGATTTCACTAGGAGATGACAATAAATGTTGATGCAAAAGAATTTGTCCACAAGGCGGGTTGAGTGCTCTTTATTCAAAGAACAGGTAAGCTCTAGCTTGCTTCCATTAGCATAGTACATTGTGAATCATGGATCCATTGTTCATCACATTAGCCACATTGAACAAAGATAATATAAGGCACAAAACTATCTATTAAATATGTGTCAGTGACTTTAAAGTAAATGCAATTTGAATCTCCTGAGTGACTCAGAAATGGGATTCTATTTCAAGGTAAGATGCATCAGTCATCCAAGACTTGGTTCCTTCTCAGCAATTAAAATTTGACACTTCAACGTGAAACTTCCTCATAACTTTCCCCTTGCTTGAGATGTTCTTGACGTGCCATATTTACCTACATACCACACAAACCATTTTTCCCAACCTTCCAAAATTGGGATGTCTCTCTTTAGTGGGAAAGCTGATTTTCTTTGTACACATTTCTTTTGTAAACATTTTAAATTGGGCTTTTTCAGTTCTGTACACTGGCAGTTTTGACACAGTGCCACATGTGTAGCTTATAGACAAATCTGACCACTCTAATTATGTAATTTAAATCTCATTGCTCCATTTAGCTACATGGGAACCATAGGCAAGTCTAAAGCCCTTGTACTGCACTATGAGCTAAGTGAGATTTTTATCACAATTAAATTTAAGCTTAGCTATTACCAATTGCAGCAGACAATTGGGTTGAAAGTATTGCTGACTCTAAGTAAAGCCACCAGCAGTTAATGTTAAATTGTACTCTTGCAACACTGTTCTGGAAACTTACCAACCCAGTAACAAATCAACTTTTTCTATGAAAAAAACTGTCATGAAGAACTGAAAGATACTAGCCCATCAAAAAGTAGTTATTATGACTGAGTTAATATAATTTTGTAGTATTACCATTTAATCTGTGTGGGATTTTTTTCCTAAATCAGGTCAGCTAATTAGTATCCAAACCCAATCTGGATTTTGAAGTGCAGCCTTTCTCTACTGCTTTCTGGCGTGAATATGGATCAGTTTTTATGAGGGTTTCCTTCTAGTTCTTTTTACTTAACATGTGAAAATATTAATAGTGTAGAATGTAGAAGATCTAGAAAGTGCGTTTTGGAAGGCATGATCAAGCATTACACGTTTGTAGATAGGTTTGTTGACTGACATGCATGAAATATAGAACAAGCTGAGGTTTTGGGGTTTTTTTTAACTGAACAAGTAATTTAGTATCTCTGGGTGTGGAGCTCAACCTGTCAGGCCCAAAGGGTGGAACACAATAAAAAACAAAGGAAGGAAACTTGAGATGTTGTGTGATTAATTCTTTTTATATGAATGGTTTCCCACAATCTATTTTTTATTATTCAATTTTATTACATTAATTTGTAATAAAATGGTAGGATGACAGTAGCTGTTTGGACATGAGACATTCTGAGAGTTTGTCATCAGAAAAAGGATACACTTCTAGAACTCCTTTTAGGAAATGCTTAATAGATCTCAAGATTTCATTGAGAAATTTGCTTATAGAAGCAGCAGATTAAAATATATAATATGGGAAAATTTACTGCCTGCTTTGGTTTGGTTGACTTCTTTTAATGATTTAAAAATATTTCCTTGTGTTTTGTAATTTTGCAATAATACATAACACCTAAAACTCAATAAACAGTAGACACTTTGCTAAAGTCAAATAAATAAGCTATTATTTGACACAGTGCAGAATCCGAGCACCAAAAGAACAATTTTCCTCTTTCTAAACCACAAAGCATGAACCTGCACCTTACAAAAAAACCCTTTTATTAGAAAGGTAATTTACTTGACCGTATTGGTGTAAGGTAAAATCAAGACTTTAACAGAGACTCAACGTTTGGAAATCAAAGCTGGTAAAATTAAGTCTGTCAAAGTTAATTTTCTTTCAAGTGTAAGAAGTTTAGCTGCAGCTAATCAGCAAATTTTCTATATTTCTTTAAGATTTTTATAGCACTAATCACTCTTTC